CCCCACCCCCAATTTTGCATTTTGAAATGCTCCCGATTTCTGAGGTTTAAAGGTTGGCAAGTATGGGTCCAAGTAAGGCCTACGCATTTTGGTTATGGCTGTGTAAGACTTCCGTGTCACTCCTCTCTTATTAGCTTTTAACTGCCTGCTATCAACGATGGGCCTTATGTCCAAAAGGATAAGCATGATTTCTGATAAGCATTCAAAACACAGAACAGCTGGTGTGGCTGATGGCAAGGTCTTTATTTCTGCAGTTTTTTGGTCAAAATCGAAGGATTGGACACGTTAAAATATTGACCTGATGGTGCTAGAAGAAAAGTCCAAGTTATTTTGATTCATCCTGAGGGGAAAATTAAGTTTTGTATAACGTGTAATGCCAATCAATTCAATATTTGCTACGACATGTCACAAGGAAAAGTCAAGGATCACCAACATCTTTATGACTTATCAAATAATTATGAATCTGTTGGTGGAGAACTTCAATACAACCATATGTTTTGTAGGCCAATCTTTACTACCCATGAATTCCCATCCCTCCCTCCTTCAATGCACTATTGTAACAGTAAAGCCAACTTTTGCCTTTAGGATATTATCGCACCAAACAGACACTTTCCTGGAAGCATTGAGTCTCTCTACAGTATATGACACTCTCATATTTATCACATGCCCTTTGCACGTAGAGCACGCCCACCTAAAGGCAGTGGTGGAGCTCAGGGGAAACACAAATACAGAGGTCTCTCATGTCAGAGGTTCTCACAGTCTTAGACTCAGGACCTCCCCTCAGACTAAGCTTGATCAAAGGTGTCAGCTCACCCACATTAACTTAGTTTACTCGCTTAGTGTGGCTGAATGCCTATAGGATCATGAATATGATATTTGATCCCTAAGACACTTAAGAGTTAAGCCTAGGAAGTGTAATATGGCTGTTTGAAATAACTTCACACTACACCAAATATATAAAAACTCAGTCTTAAGGTATTTACAAGTTTCTTTTTGTTCTGATAGTGGGAAAACTGTAAAATTCCACAAAATGAGGGCCTCCCATGATGAAGATTCAGGCTCTTGGTGAAGCCTTGGATGCAATAATTGTTGAGCCTACATGTAAATAGTCCAGAGGCCATCAAAGGAAACTCTGGAAAAAAACACACTGGACGCTGCACTAGGTCAGAAACCAGAGGAGACTGTGAGGTCCACCGTAGATGGACCACTTTTGGACAAAATGTCCTCTCCATTAAAGGCAGCTCATTGTGGAATAGCCTCCCAACTGAGACACTGGATTGTCCCACTCTCAATAGTTTTAAAGGTCAACTCAAAGAATGGTTGAGAAACAAACATAGGGGTATCTCCTCATTGTACTGCCATGTGGTAAATACTTGTATGCTGCTCATGCTCTTTCTGCATATCATGTATTTATATTTGCTATATAAATGTCATGTTCTTAAATGTTGTATGTGAGGGACTACGGATGGAAATTAGCTCAAAGCATTATTTGTTTAAAGTGTTCATCAATGTGCATTGTCCCGGTTCATATAAACGATGAAATAAATCAAATGTTGAATCAAATGTTGTTGATGGTAGTGTTGCCCGAATAGTCCGGAAGCCATTGATGGAAATGTTGTTGTCAGATATACCCTGGTGCATCAATGTTTCCGTAAAGCACATTAAACTACATTCTATACTTTGTATGATTATTGGTAGACGTGGTTAGCTTGTCCATTCGATTAGCCTGGTCTAAAGAAAGCGGCCATTGTGCAACAGTGTCGTGGATGCACAACATCAACAAACAAAATCTCTCTACAAGAAAGGTTAGAGAGGGCCCGGCTCAATAAATAACGAATATAAGTTATTAACAGAAAAATAACAAATAAGGTTTGATCAAAAAGGGAAGCTAATAGTTGAAAATAGTACAAACTGTACCTCAAATCCTACTGTACACATTAACTTGGTTTAAAAACTGAAGTCATATTGTTCCACTTGCGTTCACTGAGCCTCCTCTGCAACAGTTTGGATCTCAGTCACACTTTAAAAACCTCGGTGTCATGAATGAACCAAAACTTTTGTAACTTTAGCAAATGATTCATGCATTCATAGAAAGCTGACTGCTAAATATAGAAAGAAACTGTAAAATGCAACAATAGGAATATGCCAAATGCACAAGAAGGCATAACATTTATCTCCTGTGCTGATTAGTTTACCCAACAACCAAAATACCACATAACTTGAGTATAAACCCCAGACTATTTGAATCACCTGACTCGCAGCAGCTTCGTGGAAGAACAGCACTAAATCCACAAAGAATGCTAATGATTTTTAAGCCAAATCAAGCCTTCATAAAACCACACACACACACACACACACACACACACACACACACACACACACACACACACACACACACACACACACACACACACACACACACACACACAGTGTGTGTGTGTGTGTGTGTGTGTGTGTGTGTGTGTGTGTGTGTGTGTGTGTGTGTGTGTGTGTGTGTGTGTGTGTGTGTGTGGTTTTATGNTGGAGTAAATTCACAAACTACCCTGCAGTATACAAAGTCATTCAAACTAGCTGCACCTTTACCAGCTTTGATAACACTTTACAAGTCCCCTATTATACTGTTTTTCATCAATATATTACAGGTCTCAGATATATACAAAACCTGTCTCTGTGTTTGGCTCCAAACACCAAACAGATCATTGCAGCATCCCATAATCCCCTCTGTTTCAGCCCTGTTTCCAAAGTGCTGGGGGTTACCTTGGTTGCTGATTGGCTAATGGTTACACAAGCCAAAAAATCGTTATGACATCATAAAGAGGCCAAAATCTGATCAGCTCATTTTCAGACAGGTTTTTATAGAAATGGATCAGGACAAAAAGAGAGAGAATCTTTGTTCCTGAAACTTTCAGAGTCTCTTTCCACAGAGGGGACAAATGTTTGATGTAGAAGAGACATGAAGACGCGGGGACACATGTTGATGTAGAAGAGACGTGACTAAGTGGATTTTGCATGATAGGTGACCTTTAAAGCATCAATAATTGATGCAAGGATCAAAANTTGTGAATTTACTCCAGGTGGAACTAAAGTCTGATTTAACACTTGATTAGATTTCCCATCACTCATCCAGATCTGTGAAGTAACTAAAGGTATTAAATAAATGTAGTGGAGGAAAAGTACACCATTTACCTCTGAATTGTAGTGGAGTAGAAGTACAAAGTAGCATTACATGTAAATACTCAAGTAAAGTACAAGTACCTCAAAACAAAATGTACTTAAGTGCAGTACTTTAGTAAATGTACTTAATTACGTCCTAAAACCCAAAGGCTTCACGAGGACAGCAGCATGTTGACTCTTTACAAACTCATTACATTTAAAAATAAGTCCCTGATCCAGACTACACAACCTCTTAAAAAGATTTATGAAACACTTGTATTAATTTGTGTTGCACCGGTTTTTCTGTAAAGCCTTAAAAAAAATTACATAAAAAAATAAACGCACACCAAATGTCCTCAGAGAATCGGTTGCTTCTCAATACTTGGTCCCCACAAGTACAGCAAAACAAACTAACAAACACACAGAAATGCCTTTAAAGGCAGCCTCTAAAAACTAGAAATGTGCGGTTTTAAAAAAAAATTCTAATTCTATTAAATTAAATATATTTGGACATTTATCACACATACTTTTCAGACTTTTACTTTACAGACGTGTACTTTTCATAGTTTTTTGGACACATTCTGACATTTCTTTAGGACTGTTGCAATAAGTCAATACCTGTGTATCCTTGTATTTTGTTGTTTTGTTTCCCATTGCAAAGCGTCCTTGGGTCTCTTGAAAGGCACTATAAAAAATTTAAATGATTATTAATACATTATAAGGTGCTTGATTGACAAAAATAATCTCTTAAAATGTTTATAATCACGTAATCGCTGAAGTATTTTTTTACTTTAATTATCTTTAAATGCTGTTTTCAGCCTCTCTAATCTGATTTTCACTTTTCTCTGATTCATATCATTTTTAGATAAATATCTTTGGACATTTAAATGCATCACCTTGGACTTTGTGGGACTGGAATGGACATTTTTAACAATTTTCTGAAATTTTTCTAGACATTTTACCATGAGTTGAACATTGGAAAGTTGCTCTACAGTAAAATAATCTACAAATATTTTTTCCTAATCATCATTTTTAGTACATTTTCATGCACAAATTGTATTAAATTATGTTTTCAGCCGCTAATATGGAGATGTTCTGCTTGTCTTTGATTAATAAGTAAATGTCTTCAGGTTTTGGACCTTCACCAACTTTGAGAAACTTGATCATTACTGATCTACAGATTATTTTATAGATTAATTGATAGTTTTTTTTCTCTAAACTGTCAAAAATATGAAGTAAAATAGCTCCATTCAAACAAACATCACACTGGAGTCTTTTCTCTTTTAAATGTATTAACAGAATTGTATTAACATTTAATATGCAGGAATGAGACCTTCTGTGAATACATGGCACAATCATATTATATACATTCTTTAAGGAGACAGTGCACAGACTTGGTGGAGGGGGGGGGGTAAATATCTTTAAATGACCCTTCAGTGAGTGACCAACATTTCTCTTTTTAAGTTAATTAGCTTTTTAAAAAAAAAAGAAAAATGGCTGTTACCAAGAAAAACACAAAGTAATACCACTGTTGTGTCGTACATCCATTCCTTTATACACACTTAGGGTTTAATCACACAAACCAGAGGGGGGAGGAGGGGAGGGGGGGGTGTCTACCACAGTGCTATCTTTTAAGTGTAAATATACAGAATTCCCATGTAACACGACATGTGAAGCGGATCATTTTAAAGAAACTAAATTAGAGCCTCTCGTTAGCTTATAATAAAGCTCATTGCACGTTTTCCCCCACAGACGTTAGTGTCTTCGTAGAAAGCCGCATGAGTGTGTGTGTGTGTTGATTAAAGGTGTGTGTGTGTTCAGTGTCCCGTCAGGTAGTCCTGTGTGGAGTCCGAGGCGAAGGAGTCGGCGTCCTCGTTGTCCGAGTCCTCGCTGCTGTCGTCGGCCGCCGGCTCTCCGGACAGCGCGATGCGGGCGTAGTCGTCGGTGTCGATGGATTTGCAGAAGTGGATGGCGTACTTCAGCTTCTCCTCCAGCACCTGTTTGCACGAGTACCGGGGCAGCTTCAGCAGGAAGAAGCAGGTGTAGGACTCGGGCAGGAAGTGGTCGGGGGGGTTGTATTTATCCAGCACCTGGGAGCAGAGAACAGGACTCGCTTAGTTCTAGAATATAAAGGTGGTTCTACTTCTGTAAAAAGCATTTACCCACTCAGGGACTCCTGTGTGGACTCGAATATAAATCCAGCTTAAAGGTAGGGTAGGTAAGAATGGAGAAACCAGCTCGAGTGCGCTAGAATTTGAAAGTACGCAGCCGGGAAAAAAAAATCTGCCCCTTCCTTCAGACTTCCTTACAGAGCCCCTCCTCCAACACACACGAACGAGCACATGACCAATGAGGGCACCAGATAATTTGTGCACGAGATGGAAGGCTGACAGGCAGGTAGGCCATCCAGTTACTTTAGCCGGGCCGGCTCAGATGATTGGTCGTGCTTTTTACAGCGCTACGGCCTGAGACTGCCAAGGCACACTATGTATTTATTGTCAAAGCATTTCATGTATTCATTGCTATTGGGATGTTAAGAGCATTCCATGGAATATAACAAAAAGTGTTTCTGAAGTGAATTACATACCCCACCTTTAAGTTTCTAATATTACAAAAATAAATGAGAATTTAAATGCAGAATAACAAAAACAGAATTAAGTAGCAGGGGATCTTAACAATACATTTAGCAGAGCCCAGCTTTTCTTTTCAAAATGCTTCGCCTCTTTTAAAAAATCAACTTTATTGTCAATCTTTCAGTTTGTGTGTACAGAGGGATCGAAATACCGTTTCCCACAATCCAGAGTACAATAAAAAAAAAAATATAAAAATATGTATGCAAATACGTATATACCTATATATACACAAAGACACATTTATACATGTGCACACATTAAGACCACAACAATCAATATATACAAAAATAACAGTCACTTCTATATTTTATGGGGCTGCTCCGACTTGAAAATATTGGAACTTCTCACTAAAATCACAGTGACGTCATTGTAGTAATTGTGGCTATAATAGCTTTTTGTTGTCGAGAAGTTCAATGGAAACGATCAAAACAAAGACCTAAAGCCCGTTTGTTGTAGCAGATTGTTCAGGCTCCACTGATCGGGCAGGCACTAATTGTTGCTGCCGGTGAGTGTGAGACTTTTATCGTCCTAATCCCTCTCTCTACGGCTGTCACACTGAGCGCTGAAGCTAAATCAGACGGTAAGTGTGAGAGCTAGCTTCTTCCCGTTAGTGCTCAAAGTGTCAAACAGATATATACTGTAGTGGCACAAACAGATCATAAAATGCAACAGTGAATCTAATCCAGGGTTAAATATATATGTACAAATATATATATATAACCTACTTTTCAAATAAATTCAACCAATTAAAAATGGAAACATTTTCAAACTAATCTTAGTAGATATAAAAAGCCCAATCACTTATTTGCACAACAGATCTTTTTCTAAGCAATCTGAAGCTTGTTTAAAGGCATGAGCTGCAAACTAAATAAATGAAACCCTCTGAAAAAAGAAGCTTTTAGTTATTATGCCCCAACAATTTGGAACAAACTGCAAGTCCGCTGAAACACTTCCTATTTTTAAATCCAGATTAAAAACGCACCTATTTGCCGCTGCTTTTAATTGAGCTGCCCATACTCACTAGTGTGAGTATGGGCAGCTCAATTAAAAGCAGCGGCAAATAGGTGCGTTTTTAATCTGGATTTAAAAATAGGAAGTGTTTCAGCGGACTTGCAGTTTGTTCCANATTATAGAGTTTCAGCGGAAGTCCCCTCGAGGGGGGGAGTAAATCCCTCGGATCGAGGCGGACCGAAGGGGGGGTAAGCTTGTCACGAATATATTGGACCAATTATCAAACCCGGATGAGTTAATTTGTATTAACAGGTATAATTGAGAATACTTATGTATATATTAGTTTCTTTCGTGATTCAAAAAGGATCAAGGTCGTGTTCAAAGTGAAGTTATCAGAATAAGATCCAAACGGAAAAAATTATAAAAGCCACCAATTGGAATTTCATTATTAGAAGAATCAGAGAGCGAGTAAAATCAACTTAAGGAAAAAAGAGATAGTAATAAGGAACGGAGGAGAGATTAAGATGTTTGGAAAGGAAGTAATAGTGTAAAGAACAAATTTTTCGGTAAAGAGGAAGAGGATAAGAAATAGTGTAGAGAAAGTCACGTGAGATGTAAGGGGTAAAGGAGATGAAGACACAAAGAATTGTGTTGAAACAGGGTTCACAAGATTTCTCAGGTACAGACGAGACTGTTCGTAGAGGTGTTTTCCGGCACTCCGTCGTTATAGTTACTTTGATAATTCTCATCGTTCATCATTATCGTTAACCAAAAAAATGGTGCATATTTGTGTCACACAGATTAGAAATGTTGAGTTCCTGCAAATAAAAGTTTTTGAAATAAATAATAGTGATTGTTCATTACAGTTTGATTGTTTTATATTTGTGAATATTTCTGGGTGTTGCCATCTGTACGTGGCGACGCTGCATTCTTTATGCTACTTACGTTGCTATGGTTTAAAATGTTCATATTGATATTCTTTTAACTCTGGCTTTGTAATAAAAAATATGGTGAAACGAAAACAGCCAAGCCTGGCAGCTTTTGGATTCACAAGAGGAGTCTAAAAATGACAACGTGAACGGAACAACTTTTAGTTGGCCGGCTGTAAGCGGCGTTAAGGTCGAGTTTGACAGCTCCACACAGAGGGCCCTGAAAAAAGAATAGGGCTCCCCCGAAAGCAAATGGGTCATTCGAACACTGTATATAAGTATATGTTGCTACTAGAAATAACAGAAGTCAGGATCTAATTAGCACTGACAGCATCAAATAACTCAGAAAACAAACAGTAAACTTATGTTGTGATTGTCTTGTGTTAAATACAGTGAATTCATGTCTTACTTTTGCATGCCTTCCCTCCAGTGTGCTTAAGCCCCTCCACATGTTACTACACATACTTTAGGTTACTCATATTGCTCTTTACCTTGCATCCGGTGGTGATGTCATGGCCCCAGTGGTTGGGGGCGCAGTGGTCGCACCGCTCTCCGATGGTGTTTGGAGGACAGATGCACTGCCCCGTGTTAGTGTCGCAGTTATTCCCCACATGAGTGCACTGACAAGCTGTACGAGAGAAAGTGTGTGTTCAAATATTTGGAATAAACCCTGAAGACAATTCAGTGTTTGACAAGCTGATTGTTTTTCTTAGTAACTTGTTTCTTCAACAACAATACAGTTTGTCTTTCACATCATGACATGCTGACAACGCTTGGATATAAGAATAATATGTCTGGGATGGAGACAAGGAAAGTGAGCTTGCCATGTTTTTTTTAACTTTAAAACCTAGGGGAACATATTTTGGTCACAGTGTGTCTTTAGTTCTGCAAAGGAGGTTTTTACGTTCTTTATTTGTCTTTTTGAAAGCAGGCTTACAGAAAAATGACTGTAAAAAGAAGGAATTTTAAAGGGTAATTGGTTGAGTTAGTGGAAGAAAGATTCAGTTGTTTAAGGTAACACCCCAAACCCCCCCAGTGCCATTCATTTCAATTTATTTTCCCAACCAATTAACTTATTCAATCACCCACACCCCATAGAAAACACTATTTCCACTGCCAGAGGACTCTCTTTCTCATTCAGCTCGCTGATTGAATTGAAATAATAATACTCATGAAATGGAAAGTCATTTTTACAGGAGAGTTGCATTATTTTGTTATATTTCTATTTAATGAACATTCCTGAAATCTAATGGAATAGCACCTGAATAATTAATGTGAATTGTTAATGAAAGTGTCATCAGCTAGTCCTGGCTCTTTCTGTCATTTCCGCCCACAGCCTGAAACGTATTTGTATTCCGACTTGCCTTCAGTGAATTCCCTGTAACATGAAACATATTGTTTCTGTAACCTGACTGCTGCACTGAGCTGCTGATCTGAAGATGAATCAAACAAATAATTCCCAGTCCTATCTTTTCTTTCTTTCTGGCTAACTTGGTTCTCCTTCCCTTGGCTGTTATTGGTGGTTGGCATCAATTATACATTGCATAAGCAGATATGTGGGAAAAGCTTTTTATAGTTTAGGTGTCTGGATGCTTAATCCTCTTTTTGCTCAGCTAAAGTTTGCTGCACCTGCGGCCTGCGGTGCCAAGTTTGTAGGGCATATGATTAATAATGTCAACTTGCTCCCATATAGGCCTTTATAAATGACTAAAGTATCTTCAGATGATGTAACACACCCTTAGGGGATGATAATGAAAATCCACAGCTCTGACAACAAACAGATAATTGTCTTCTGATGTAAACTTTTTGTTCACTTCACCGATCAATATTGTGTTTTAATACAATGAACAAGATATGGAAATCAATAAGTCTTCCCTTTACCAGGGATACTGTCTTTTATAGCAAAGCCTCAAACGGAATAATACACAGATTTTGTACCTTAGAACATTTACATGAGTAACTCCATCTCTATTTCCAACATATCCATTTCCAGCTACTGCAAGTTTGAATTTAGAGACTTGTTTTACAACAGTTTGGACACATTTTGACCTTTCATTTGAGGTGTGAGTACAGACTGTGTTTGGTGTTAAATCCCTGCTGATTTAAATATGAATCACGGCTTCCTGGATCACTGTGAAAATGAAATAAGCTAGACGTTATGTAATTCTACATCAAGCACAAATAAAGAAACAGGATGGTGATTAATTAAAGAGAAGGTTCAAGGTTCAAGGTTCTTTATTTGTCATACGAACATAGCTACAGAGTAGTTATGTCGATGAAAATCTTAGGTCACAGGCTTCTCCAACAGGGCAACACAATAATACAGAAAAACAGAAAAATATAGTGCAGGTAAATATTAAAAAGTTACAGAGCCCCCTAGGGGACATGGAGAAGAAAAATAAATCTCGCAAAACCCCGTTGCAGTTTGTAGACGGTCCCTAAGCACTCCTCTCCCTCCTCAAGCTGCAGATTGTGACCAATTCTTGATGTTTAGCTCGGATGAGATCTCGCAAAAGTATTGTGAGATCTCGCAAAGGGGTTTTTGCGAGATCTCGCGCAAAACATATATATATATATTTTTTCAAATAATTTTTTTTTTCTTCTCCATGTCCCCTAGGGGGCTCCGTAAAAAGTAAATACAAAAACAAAAATAGTTTAAAAAAAGTGAAATAGTGAAATAAGAGTCTATATGCAAGCTATTGGAATGATATATTAGAATAGTTTTGATTAATGTTAATACAAATACATCTAAGTGCCATGCTGTCAACAGCCTTCACACACAGAGTTTTATAAACGCATCTTATGTCGGGTTTTCCACCAACCATTAATTGATAAACAATTACGTTGGGTCAAAATAGATTTCACTGTAATATTGACTTACGTTGATTTGATTAACCTAGTGATCTCTTCCCTAAACATTATTCAATATTACAAATAATGAACAGCTGTTTTGCGTGTTCACCATCCAAGATGAATAACACATCTGGCAGCTCCATAATTCTTTTGTCCTATCATTATTTGTATGTGTGTCCAAGCTTCACAGATGTTTCTATCAATCAGCAGCCGGTTTCTCTCGGCTACATTCACTGTCTGTAGTTAAACTGGAACAGAAAGACATGCCTGCGCAGACAAATGCTCTGCTTGTAGGCACAAAGATTTTGGCTAAGTAATAATTACAAAACTGCCACCATGATGTGAACGAGTACACACGCACTTTTAAGATTACACAATAGCTTTTTTCTAAGTGGAATTGCACTGCAGACAATTTGTGTAAACTTTAAATTAAAAACGAAGGAACAGAGCAGCGGTTTAATGGGGAGAGCAATTTGTGTCTGCTGACATTACATTCATTGCAAAACGGTTCAAACACAAATATGAAATGCTTTGATGTTTTCAGTGCAGCAAACTCCCTGGAAATGTTTAAAAGTAAATTACAAACCTATCTTTTTTAATATAGCTTTTAATTTGGGTTAACTTTCAATTCTCACAGGTATCATTGTCCAAGTTTTTCTGTATTTTTTCTGTTTTGCTTTTATTTATTTATTTTTAACTGTTTTATTTTAACCTATTTTAATTTATGTGAGCTTTACTTCAAGGGCATTTCATTAGGATCACTTTCGATGTTTTAACTTGTTCTCTATTTATTTTAATATTGTTGTTATGTTTTCTTCTTGTTCCGTAAAGCACTTTGGGTGCTATACAAATAAAGTGTATTATTATTATTATTACTTTTGTTCTGTCTGTTTTTTTACGAAACACCTCCCTCTTTATGGGACCCTCTAACACCTGCACTTTTAAAAGAACATCCATAACATTCATCTGTTTGTAACTTATACATATCAATATTCAAATTACTTGCACATAGACTATTCTGCACAATTTATATTATATTCAATTTTATTTATTTGTACTATTTTCAGTTGTATTGTGTTGCACTGTTGGAGGAGCCTGTGACCTAAGGATTTCATTGTCATAACTACGCTGTTGCTATGAACATATGACAATTAAAGCCTTGAAACCTTGAACCCTTGAACCTTGAAACCTTGAACCCTTGACCCTTGAACCTCTATGCTTACGTGTGCAGCCGCCCTCCTGGAAGTTGAAGAATCCTCGAGAGCAGCGGTCACATTTGGGTCCGGAGACGCCGGGCTGGCAGCGACACTGACCGGCTTCATCACAGTCGAACGACTTGGACCCGAACGAGTTACAGTGACACGGGACACACACTCCTCCGGTGCTGATGCCGTGAGTCTGCGTCTGGAGAAACACAGAAAGACGGGGTTAAAATGGAGTTTAGAAGAGGACGTGGATTTAGAGAAGTTGCAGACACACTCAAGCAACTTAGACACACAGAGGTTGTGAGAATGAGAAATGACATAAGATGCAAGACTTGTTTTGAATGAAAAAGAGCAGGTGGGGGGAAATGAGGCAATAATTGTGTTTATATTTGTGAGTTTCAAGAGTTGTGACCATTTTGAAAGTATTATTCTTGAATAAAGAGAGAATTTCAAAGATGAGTTGTCTAGATGCTATTCATTTTTTTATTTGACTTGTTTAAATGTAGACTAAAAAGCTATCTGATAGTTTGAAAATGCCTCCTTGTGGCTGCTAAAGGAACCAAACCAAAATGCCATGCATGGTGGTTCATCAGCTTGGACAACAACATTCACTAACTGCCCCTGATGCCGGATAAAAAACATTGAATTAGTTACAGTTCATCTGAAAATGACTGGAGAATGTGGATATCTTGGGCAAAGTCATGAAGATAATGATTGGCCTAAACATAATAACAGTTCAACAAAAGTTCAGCAACAACAAACACCTTGAGCTAATTAAAGAAGTGACATTTTCGAATGATCTCATTGTAACGTTGATATTAGGACGTGTGTCACGTTTGCATTTGTTCTTCACTTGGAAACATCTTCAAACCACTTCAAACCAAATGTCTCTCAGAATAACACTCCGTGCCAGTAAAACTCTGCATAGAACACGAGATGAACACCTCACTGTCCATGCAGTGTTTAAAAACTTTAACCTCAAACCATCCAATCCACAAACACAAAGATTTCAATACTTGATGGACAATAAAAATTGGTTTTCAACGTCTTCTTCAGCAACACCAATATTTTTTAATTCACGTCAAATAAACACACCCATACTTAAACACACCATGCCCGGTTTAAACACTTGAACCTCAAACCATCCCATCCACAAACACATCTTTGTTAATGCTTGTTTTCATTTCTTTGTCTTCTTCAGCAACATTGACATTTTGTAAACACACCCATGCTACTTAAACACACCATGCCCGGTGTGTTACCCCTGGGCTCGGCCTGTACGCCCCCCTGGGACACCCCCCCGTGCGGGAGGAGCCCCCCCATCTCTGATGCACGGCTGAGAGGGGAACACGCTCCACCGGCCTTCGGGTCTCACGCCTCTCGTAACCTTGGCGACGCAGGTTGCAGTGCCGGCCCACAAAGCCGGGCCGACAGATGCAGCGGCCCTCGGCGTCGCAGCGCTGAGACATGGAGCCCGGGGGGCTGCAGCCACAGGGGATACAGTCCTGCAGCTCAGCGTCCCACCAGCAGTTAGGCTGGACCAATCACAGCGCAGAGAGGGGGTCAGCAGGACAGAGAGAAACAACACACTCAAAGTACAAGGAGGAAAGAACTCAAAAGAAGATTCCAAAAACGAAAATACTGCTGTGTTGTGGAGAAAAATCCTTATTCATTAGGATCATTGTATCATTGTCACAAAAAGAGACCACAAACTTACTTTAGAAAAGAAAAGAAAACACTTGATGACCTTCGATATTCCCAACTTATCAGATTAAGTGTGAAACAAAAAAAAATGTTGTGTGACATTTTAATATAATGATGCATCTTCTTTCTCTTGCAAAGCTACATTTGTGGGTTTGCCATCACAGCCTAATTGCTGCCATTGCAAAAACTGAAGTATAGAAAAAAAATAGTCATAACAAATTAACAAATTCTGCAGGTAGTGATGAGAAACAAGAACTTGGAGGTCTCTATATTATGTTAATATCTAATATTCAAGCGTGGTGAAATCGTGCAAATGGGGTTACAACACTTGAGGTTTACATGTAGTCCATTAAACATTAAGCAATGTGATGTTGCAAGACACCAAGAAGAGAAAGGGGGAAGTATATGTGGAAAATAGATGAACTAATAGTCTATAAAGTAAAGGTGCCAATACAAAATACTTACAATGCACTCGTCACACTGTCGTCCAGCCACATTTTGTTTGCACTCGCACCGTCCAGTCTCCTTGTTGCAAACCTCAGATACAGAGCCATTAGTGTGACACTGACAGGCTGTAAGAGAGGAGAGGAGAGGAGAAGAGGAGAGGAGAGGAGGAGAGAGGAGAGGAGAGAGCATATTTAATCAATAATCATTTACTAACGGCCTCATTTCTACATAAGTACATCAAATAAAACCTTAGTTCAACAACAACACTGGTTGGTGAGTGTTTCCTTCACACTACAGTCTGCTGGATGAGCTCAAATCCTACTTAAGGTCTTCTTCAGGATTATCTGTCAATATGCATTTTAATATCCCTCTGACTGCGCTTTGGAGAAAATCTCCTCTCGCCCAAATAGACTCTTCAGTCCAGTGGGCTGAATTATTTTTGACAGATTAAGTTTTGTATATTAAAACGACACCCAGTTTAAGTTTGAGTCTAATGACAAAGCAATGGTGCAACAGAGGACAACATCAAATGTTCTTAAAATTCAGAATGTAGATTCGAAAGAAAAGCTGGTGTTTAGTGTGTGAGTTCTCTGTCTAGACAAAACTGCAATCACAAAGATTGAGTGAAAGTCCACAACAAACCGAACACTGACAACATGAAAGATGACTAGAATTATTTTTTTATTATTATATTTATTTGTCTTCAGTTTAGATGCCAACTTACAACCACATTAGGGCTTTGAAAGCTGTCTGAAAAGGTTTTTTTTGTTGGTGCTAAGGGAAATAAAACACTGGACTCAGACACTCACAAGCTGTCCCTGAAGCTACGAAAAGCCAGCCAAGACAATTTAAACGTATCCTCTGAAAAGTTGCCGGATAAAAAAATAATTGAATTAGGTAAAGTTCAGTTGGAGTGAGAGGAACAAATCTGCTTCCTGCAGCCACATTGAGAAATCACCAAGATATGTGGGTCTTAAATGTTCAATGATGAGTACATGTGGTTAAGAAATGAATAGTTTTCCACTAGGAAATGGCTTAGGCATCTTACTAATTAAAACAACATCTCCAGAGTCTATTTGTCACAGCTCTCTCCCTCATGTCCTGCCATATCCACTGTCAATATAAAAGACTCAAAACACCCACGAGACCCTAAAATACTTTGTTTTTTAATCTTGTGATTAGGACAGACACTGAGAGAAAAAACAAGTCCAAAATAAAGCTTGTGTTATAAATAACAAGGAAGTACGCACTACTTGGATCTGATGGTGAGGAAACAGTGGGGTGCTTATGATGATTGTTGAGGCTAAAAACTGTCCACATACACAAGATTAAATTAAAAAGAAAAGGCACACACACTAACAACGAATAAAGAGGCCGAATATGCTGGTTGAGTTTTCCCTTTCCTGTAGCGTGTTATATTGTTTTTTGTGAGTGTAAACGGTCTGCGGCGACAAAAATCCCAAAGTTCCCTTCAGAGGGAAAATGAACACAATAGGCGCGTTCACAGCAAGTACTTTTCCCACAAAGGTTCCTGAGAACTACGATTTAGTTGCGTTCACACCAAAAAGTCCCAGGAACTAAATTAGTCCTAGAGAACCTTTTTTACCCCCTTTTCAGTCCCTGCTAGAGAGCAGGGACTTTCGTGGGAGAAAAAGGTTCCTGTGTCTGATTGGCTGGGCGGAATGCAAACCACGCCCCGTCAAACTCCCAAAAACGTTTGTGAAGCCGCCATTTTATTATCCTCGCATTGCATTATTAGCATTAGCATTAGCCCAGCGCAGAAACGCAGAGAGCTAACTCTATGACAACTCAAAATTAAAACATGGGAGCGATGGAGATGAGAAGGTGTCGGCGTTCTGGCCGTTTCTCGGAAGCTTCGTAGAAGCTTGCTGGGAGTCCCGCCAGCTTCTATTGAAGCCAGTCCCCCAACTCGGGGCTCGGGCCGGGTTTTGGGGTGGCATATACGCCCTGAAGTTGTGTGCCTGCCAGTCACCCAGCAAAAGAAGAAGAATGGACGTCATGCGGCTTCATTTGCTACATCCTTCCCCCAGAACTACATTTCCGGTTGAACGCATCTGTCCTAGTCATAACTAAGAGTTTGCAACCTTTGTGAAAAAGTACTGGTGTCACGCGCCTAATAGTCCCTCCTTTAAACCAATCATCTTTATGTAAAAAAAAAGCAGTTTTAGGGAAGTTCATTGTCTTTAGTATGATTACCATCACTAAACTTTATTATGATAAACAGTCTCATCTCTTTCCTTATTTCTCTGGCGTTGCAATTCATGGCCTTGTCCGGAAGAGTCTTAAATGCAGCACGAATGGGTTGAGTTACTTTATATCGTCTCCTCTATCGTGATCTCAACTTTATTTAACTTGTTTAAAATTACCGGAAAAATAAGAATAAAAGACACACCTACACAACGCCAAATAAGCCCCTTAGATCCACAATTAAAACCTTTGACACACGGCTCCCATCTGGCTGGATGGGCTGTCAGGAAGGCACACACACATCACGGAAAAACACACCACACCTTTCCAAGAATCAGTAGCACACTCCACATCACAGTAGCACCACGTGGACTAGTTTTACCTCGTGTTATTCTCTACTATTTAGATGTGATAGAGAGAGTAAGGCGGCCTGAGTGGTGCGATGGAAGTGGAGTAGAGGGATACAACAGATGTCCACACCACCACCACACACAGAAACCGACACATGCGTGGAAGATTTATCTATTTTCCCTGCTTTACCCATGATGCAGAGAGGCACGCATGTCCTCCCAACACACCTAGCAACCCATACATTCAGATGTATAGTGTTATAGAGAAAACCATGCACATACATGTCCGTCTCTTTTGTACACACACTCCCTTTCACACACAGTCTCTCACCCGTCTAGCTTTACCCTTCGGCGCCCATCTGGCCACTGTTCTGTTAGTGCAAGGGCGGTGATAAAGGTTGCTTTCTGTGTGTTTTTTAAATTTTTATCAGCGCTAGCCTTGATGGTGAAGAGGAAAAGCATTTTACCACATGATTTTTTTTTTTGCAACTTGAATATTTTCCGTTAATAGAACACTGTGACAAACCGTAGGAGTGCCTATTGTCATTTCTTGTTATCATTGCAATGGGTTTGGTGAGAAGTTGAGCGCTATTCATCATGGCTTGACACACGAGGCAAATGTGCGTCACCTTAGGTAAGATGGTGGGAATAGGATGAGGTGGGGTTTGCGGTGTCTCTGATGATGGGTGGTTTGGTGTGGATGCCTTGAGGGGAACACAGGAATTGTGTGTGTTTCTATATTTCCAAACCGGCAGATGGGACGGAGGTATTACCTCTAAACTGCAAATTATTTGATTGGCCTGCCCGCAACAGGAGTGAATTATGAAGTGGGCGTTTGGGATTAGCAATTTGTTTGTGGATGACGGTAAACTGACTGCGCCCTGGAGTTTGTTTGGAATAGTGCGCTCTATAGAAAGACGACTGCCCTTTAGGGTCTTGTGCACTCATCTCGCATTCCTACGACCACACGCCTCCAAGCAATGGTCGTCTTGTCACGGGTTGTGTGGAGGGCTGAGAGGGCCAGCCAGAAATGCCAAGAGGGTGATCGTAGTTCTGTTACGTCTGGGATAGTGTTGGTTGGTAAATTTAGATGCCATGTCTCCTTTTAGGGCTTCGAAACATGAGTTAGGGCATGGTCAGGTCATCTGAAGTGCGACATTTGATCGTCTCGATTGATAAAGGAT